TCGATCCGTGCATGAAAGGGTTGGTTAGGAGCTGTCTGTACGATTGTACGAAAAATGGATGAAATCCGATAGGGAAGAGAGAGAGAAGGTCAACGGGAAGTTTGGGTGTGTGTGTGTGGTCCAGATTTTGTCACCAAACAAAACTAACAAATGTCTTAAGTTCCAAATGCTTAGGAATAAAAAAGGATTGGTCCAAAACCTTAGCCCATTTACACACACACAACTCAACGCTCAAGGGCAATAAAGTCATTTCCATGCCTTCGGGAATAAAATAATATAAACATTCGGGACGGGCTATCACACCTATGCATTTATATGTTGAATATTTTAATGTAGAAGTGTAGAAGTGTAGAATGATGCCCGTTTAGAATAGGTTTAATAATTAATTAAAAAATTACAATACGACGTCATTTTGAAGAGGTGAGGTGAGGTGAGGTGAGGTTTTCGAACCCCAGAAACCGAAACCGACCCAACTAGATTTGGTTAGGTTTTTTTTTTTTTTTTGGGTTCTGTTTTTTTGGCCTCGTTACGATTTTCGGTCCAATTTTTGTTGGTTTTTGGTTTTTTCAACTCACCACTAATTAATTGGGCTTATTTTTTGCACGTTTCTTACTTGTTGGCCCACAGCCCAACAATGACAAATTATCAATTTAAATTATTATATGCCCTAAAGATCTATGCATTTATATGTTGAATATTTTAATGTAGAAGTGTAGAACGATGCCCGTTTAGAATAGGTTTATTAATTAATTAAAAAATTACAATACGACGTCATTTTGGAAAGGTGAGGTGAGGTGAGGTTTTCGAACCCTAGAAATCAAAATCGACCCAACCAGATTCAGTTACGTTTTTATTTTTTATTTTCGGTTCAGTTTTTTGGCCTCATTTCAATTTTTGGTCCAATTTTTTTTGGTTTTTGGTTTTTTCAACCCATCCCTAATTAATTGGGCTTATTTTTTGCACGTTTCTTACTTATTGGCCAGTAGCCCAGCAATGACAAATTATCAATTTAAATTATTATAGTAGGCCCTAAAGACCTATGCATTTATATGTTGAATATTTTAATGTATATATGGTGTTTGCTTGTAGGAACCTATGAACCTAAAATTCATAAAATTCGAATCCGAAGTCAAGGGTTTGGTATGGATGGATAATTTAAACCAAAACATGTCTATTTGAACCCGAATGTTCTACTCCTTATGTACCGATGGATAATTTTATCTCCATTGCACTAACCACAATCTAGTTCTCTTTTGTGGCAACGACATGTCGAATTTGAATAAGTTTGATTTTACCACTTTGGAAGTCTCCAAGAGAAACAATCTTAAATGGGTTCAAGATGTGAAGCTCCACCTTATCGCTAAAAGCCTTAGAGCTACCATAAAAGTTGAGATAGATGTTCCAATTAGCGAAGCTGAGAAAGCCACCGTCGTGATTTTCATATGAAGGCATATGCATGATGCATTGCAAATCGAATACGTCATTGAAGAGGATCCACGTGCTTTATGGATAACTTTGGAGGATTGCTTTGATCACCAAAGAGATATACTCTTGCATAAAGCAAGACACGACTTGTAGCATTTATGCTTCCAACTAAAGACTGCATTAAAAGTCTGTGAATGAATACAATTATGAAGACTGCATTACAATTGCTTTATTATATTGAGATAATGTGTAAATAAAGAATTGTTGTCGTTTCGTTAAAAAAAAAGTGTTACATTGTAGTAGAAAGATAAATGTGAATTTGAGACACTACTATATTGTGAATTTTATTTTACTTTTGGTAAGTCTGCGTACAGTGCACTACTTGACTTGAGGTCGATCGTCGTCGGCAATTTTTCGATTTCCTTCCTATAATTTGGATTAACCTTCACAAATTTGTATGCTTGATTTATAGTATTGGTAACAGTTAATAGAGCCCTCCCCAATTGCTTTGGCAGGATTACCATCTACTACTGAAATGGCGGATTGAGTGAATTTATGGAGGTCTTTAACCAAGCTTGGGTCACGATTCATGAGAATAGGAGCTCCAAAATCACTAATCCACAATTTTAGATCTAGTATGTAAAGCAAAATTTGGAGTACTTGAAGCAGCGACATGAGCTGCTGCAGTAGCATGCTCATTGGAACTTACAGAAGTCAGCTTAGAAGATGACATATAAAAATTTACCACCAGTATTTCGCCAAGGCATTGAGTGATCCCACCATTCAAGATATCCAAATCACACCTCATAGCATCCATGAATGGTGTGGTTGTTGCAACCACACTTACTTATAAGTGCATTTCATAGGAGCACAAGTACTAGAGTTGGTTGAATCCGGTGGCTTGGTTGGATTGTTATAAGGGCATGGATTCCCTTGAGAATTTTGCAATCATGAAAGAGGCTTTAAAGGAAGGACCAGGGACGAAATTAGAGATTTGTATGAATGGGGGCATCCTCAAACAATAAAGTTACAATTAAAAAGCTAAAAAAATTTTACTAAACAAACACTTATATATTAATCTATAATGTTTTTCATACAAAATACTTAGAATCATTGTTGGCGAAGTCAGTCATATTGATACTAAGAGAAATGCTAAGGAGACTCTCTCAAAGTGGGAATCTCCACCACCTCATGTTTTTTGGCACAATGTTTAATGATGTTGGTACGGGGATTGTACTAAAAACATGAGGTGACGGAAAGTTCATGGAGATGTCCACTTTTGGAAGAGACTCCTTAGCACATTTCCCTTTATACCAATTAACATATAGGTTTAATTTTTATTTTAATTAGGGCTGGTCATTGAGATGCAAAATTGTGCAATTTTTCTGCATCCTAAAAAAAATTGAGTGGGGCACATCCGCCCCCTCTAGGCCTACAGTGGCTCCATCCCTGGGAAGGACCACGCGCAGACTAACATTGTTTGGCATCACAGCTTATATATAGGCATAGGCTTCATCAAGATTCAGTCTTGGCTCATTATGTAGGATTCACCCCGAGCTTGCTCATACCCATGATCGTTTTTCCGAGTCACCACATCTTTGGGGTCTTTCATCTTTGAGAGACAAAGTCATGCCGGTCAAGCTCCTGAAAATACTACTCAAAATACTGTAGTTTGTATTTACCGATTTTTCCATCTTGTCAAATTGTGAAGGTCTTTATATACAACTCATAGATCATTGCCTCATCACCATCATTTGAGAATGTCTTTTTCAGCGCCTCCCAGATTTCTGCAGAAGCATCTAGTTGAAACTTAACGCCCCATCAATTATGGAGTTATTGAATACATCAACCACCCCTTGACTCGTAGATCATTCGTACACCATTTCGTATAGGAAGTCTCTGTCTCAGCATGGCTGGGAATCATGCCATTCAGATACCCTAATTTTTACCGACCGCTATACGTATCGCCAGGATTTGGGACCGAAATGAATAGTTGTTTTCATGGAGTATGACTCTTCAACGCAAAATTATCTTGCCGAGTGATAATCTACGGAGAATTTGATGAATCAATGGTGATTTGAGGTTTCTTCATCTAAATTCATCATTGCATCAGAATAAGATGTGAAACGCTAATTTAGGTTTTTGTTCTAGGGATTGGATTTGAGTTTGTGTTTGAAATTTGTTATCTGACTTGGATTTGAGAGCTAGGATTTATAATTGAGAAAAAGGAACCATGGAATTGTCCTACCGTATACCATGATAAAATATTTAGAAAAATGCTGGAGAGATCACATTTTTGAAACCCAATAGTGTATGACACACCCCAACCCCAATAAAAGTTACGGGGTTGTGATGTGCTGGCTGACACTAAATTGACTATATGACCCCATCCGGAGATGATGTCACAAGCCAACTCAATGACAAAGCCATAGTAAGAACATTATGATATGTAAGAATTTGAACCAAAGATGTTCATTAAACAATAAAAGCCAAAGTTGCTACATAAGTACTTATCATCCTCCCCACTTGGGGACACAAAATATCTCGTGTTCAACCCCGTTATTAATCATATCACATCAGAGCAGCTAGAAGTTTCACACAATAGTAAATACAACATAGTGCAGTGCTATGCATAAACAAAAGTATGACCATGTAAATATTATTACAACTACAATAAAACTCTAGTAAAGGAGCCATCACCCAAAGTCAAGAGGATGAAAGCCTCACCGCCAAGCCCACTCGTCCCCACCGGTGTTCTTCTTAATCTCGTTATGTCCTCAAGGGGTCGATAAAACAAAACATGAGTGGACCCGTTTTTATCACAGTTATAAAATCATTGTTAAACATAATAACCCCTGTTTTGAAAACATATATAGCGAAAAACTATATAATATAGTACTACCATAATAGTAAAATCTCATTCATCAACATCAACGAAAACCCATCAAGTTGAAGTTCAGAAACCATACCTTCCATCAATCAGACAAGCTAGCAGGCACTAACACAAGTATAGCAAGCAAGAAATATACTAGCATCAACTAGTTAATTACAATACCGGTAATACTACTATCAATCATCACAAGTCTCATCCGAGACTAACACAACAATAAGCATCCATATATTAAGCATTAAAGCATATACGTAAACATATAACGTAAAAACATTTGATTTTTCAAAGGGGTCCACTCACAGGTAAGCAAAGCGTCCATCACACTTATACTCCTTGCTTGTATCCTTATGATCCTCAATCAACCTTGTGAATATCAATATAAGCTAAGATAATCCTTTTAATGGAATATAGTCCAATTCAACCCTTTAGTCTTCGAATTTGTACAAACAGAGGGCACTAAGCAAGGTTCTAAAAGCCGCTATGCATTAGTCGGGCGGCGAGAACGAGCCTAGCTCCTAGGCGGATTTAAATTAATTTAATATAAAATTTAAAATTTATATAAATAATATATATGTAATGTTAGGGGTTTTAATATAAATGGTCTTAAAAGGAAAAGGAATAATAAAACAATACAAAAATATTTAAAAAGTAAAAAATGATGATTGATTTGGGTGAGAAAAGAAACAAAAGAATATTGACCCCAAAAAATAAAAACAGAAATAAAAGAGCATAAAATAGTGGAAACGTGGAACCAAACATGAGTCGTGGGACCATAAAGATCACATTTTCCCATTTAAATTGAAAAAAAAGGATGGACCCCACCAGTCATCTTCTTCCTCTTGACTCTGCAACCTGACTTTTCCAGATTCAAAATTTTTCCTAGTTCTGGCGTCTTCAAATACAGCTAACTAGACTTCGCCCAGCCCCGTCTAGCCGTGAGCAGACCTGCATAGCTCCGCCTAGACCAGCCTAATCCCGCCCAACGTCCGTCTAATACTTTCTCCGATTTTGCAACCGATTACGAGTTAATCGAGGCGGTTGGTCTCCGCCCAGCGCCTAGGCGGCCGCCTAGGTCGATTTTTAGAACACTGGCGCCAAGTGATTTAGAACATCGAAAAACCTAAGGTTAGGTCTTGGGTTCGTCATGCGCCACTATGCTCCGACCATGCGCCGTCGCAGTGATGTCACACGCCGCCTCGGGCAGTCGTACTCTCCGCTGTGGTTTGGCAAGTAGACATTGCACTCATTGTCGTCGGTGCCACGTGTTAGTGTGGTGAGGTTTGTAAGTGAGTTAATGGATTATACCTTCTCCGTTATGAGATTCTGTCAAAGTTAACGGAATCTCAGCCGCTGCCATTAAATCTAACTCACCCGTGGCAAGTCTCCATCGCCGGTCGTGGTGATTCATTGGAAACTACAAAGTAGCCCAGAACACGATCAGGGCTCTTTCGAACTTGATTTCAATGTTTTGAAAGCTAAATTTCAAGTATCTAAGTCCTAAAAATCACTAGAAACATACCTAGGATCCTTTTAGGACGAGGAGAGGTTGAATCCCTCTCAGATTCGACCGTTGGAGCTCTGTGTAACTCACCGAAATTTGGAAAAAGGTTGGCAGAGTGCATACATGTCAAAACTTGGCAATCTCAACCCAAAATTTACATGCAGTTAGGTAATTTGTTACCTGTAATGGGGTTCGAAGGAGTTCGAGTGCCAGAAGCCTCAAACTAGTCGGAAACTGCGACAGAGAATATGGGTGCATAGAGAGGATTAGACCACAAATTAAAGCTAAAATTAGCCCAAAAACACACTTAAAATTCACCAACGAGCTAAACCCAAAGAGAATAGTCATCACCTAGCTTCGAACTCAACGACATTCACCAGAATTTGTCGCCGGGGATGACATGCATGCAAAGATTCATGACAGATCTTAAACCTTTGGATTATCGACATAAACACACATCACAGAGCAGATTATAACCCACAAAAGTCAAGAAAGGGATGAAACCATACCTAAGATGGAGTTCGAGAGAGCTCAAGCTCTCGGCGTTAATGGCAGAGCACACGGGGGTGCCTCAATGCAAATTGCAATGCCACAGATGAGTTCCCCATGTCCCAAAGGTTCACATTTCAGATTTTTGGGAGTTAGTTTGGTCGAAATCGAGAGGAATGGGGTGGTTTCCTTCTCAGAGCTTAGAGAGATAGAGAGAGGGATGAGAGCTTAGAGAGAGGGGTTGCAGAAAATGAGGGAGAAGAGGGAGACTGAGAGTGGGTATAACCCCACTTAAAATTGTTTTGAGTGAAATTACGATTTTGTCTCTCCAATTAAATTTAATTACAAATAGACCCTCGGGTCTTGGTTCGTAATTCGATTTCGACGTAAAACTACGAAAATAAAGTTTATGAAACTTAAGAAAGTGCGAGGATATAATTCTTGAGTTGAGGCTCGATAAATTAATTAAAATATCCACTTAAGGGTAAAATAGTCATTTCCCATGTCAGGAGGTTAAATTATAATATTTTAATGTATGGGTTGTAACGGTGTACCACATTAATAAATTTATCTCATTAAATGTTGATTATATGCATCATTTAGTATGTCCAAAAATGTATACTTTCCTAGCATTACTCTTCTTTTAAAACCAGCAAATAAATTTTACAGCCCACTTCAATTTCATAACTTCTGCCCCAATTGTTTGACCAGAACTATGACAGTTTCTTGTCTTCTTTCAGTTGGTTTGTTCTTATAGTTGGTTTGCCTTGAGACAACGTCTACTTTGCTTTGTAGTGCCGGCCTTCCGTTAATATCTAATTAGCTATTTCATCTGTGTCTTACAGCCAAATCCCTTGTTATCCTTTATATGTTGATCTTATTCTCATCTTCACTTCATCTTCATATTCTTATTCTCAAAGAAAGAATTCCGAAGTTAGTAACTCACCAAAAAACCATCTTTTGTAGCTCAAACCGAAAAACCTTTCTTCACAAAAGTTTATCCACAAAACGGCAGAGCGAATGATGAAGGAAGAGAACCCTAACCTTCCATGGGAGATGATACGCGAGATTTTTTCATGGCTGCCAGTAAAATCATTAGGCCAATTCAGGTGTGTATCTAAGCCATGTCGTTCTTTCATCTCCGATCCCAACTTTGCTAAAATCCAGCTTAGCAGAACAATTGACAATAAGCACATTTTGTTCCAAAGACGGAGACTTGTTTTTACTAATGAAAAACGTCATTCCATGTACTTTTGTAACCTTGATGAGCTTCTCAATCAAGACAGTCGATTTCTGGATGATGGAGAAAGTATTAATGAGAATATTGGTAAAAGTGTTGTGGTTAGTAATCTGGATTATGTTCATCCTGAACAGTCCAGTCCTGATGGGTCGCCATTGCCGAATTTCTGGGTCTTGATTTCTTACTGCAATGGGTTAGTGTTGTTCAAGTTAAATGGACAAGAGTTATATCTGGTCAACCCAGCAATAAGGGAATATAAGAAACTGCCCAAGCCACCATCTTTTAACGCACTAAGTCTTTCTGGGTTCGGTTTTGATCATGCCAGTGATGATTACAAAGTGGTAAATGGGTGGTCCGTGAAAGATGAGATCGAGTTTGCTGTCTATTCATTGAAAACCGGTTTTTGGCGAGTGATTGAAAGGCGGTTTCCCTACAAAGCTATGTTCTGTTTTATTGGCTTCATGCTGAATGGAGGCGTGCATTGGTTGGTGAAGATAGCCCAAGATGACTCGTGGGTGATTATATCTTTCCTTTTAGAAGAGGAGGAGGTTCGAGAAATTCCAGTACCATTTACTTCTTATAAGCCACTACACTACAAACTGGGTGTCTTCGGGGAATTTCTGTGCATAGCAGATTGGGTTTCTTCTCATGTAGATGAACAATATACTGACTTTTGGGTTATGAAGGAATATGGAGTCAGGGAGTCTTGGACTGAAAAAAAGTTCTCCAGTTTCATCCCATTCTCGTTAGTACATTCAGGTTGCTGGAAGAAAGATTATGTTCTCTTGATTTGCCAGCACAAGAAGCTGCTGGTTATGTACGACTTTAGTGATGGAAGCTCGCATTGCATAAACATTTATGATTTCCCTAAAGTAAGTGATGCGGGTTTCTATGTGGAGAGCCTTGTTTCGCTAAACTAACGTCGCAATATTGACTGAGAACTGGAGCATGAGAGAGTGTAGATATGCGCCAGAGAGGTAAGAAGAAACAATTTATCTGTGTTTCTTGTTTCTTTCGCATCTATTTCTCAATTTCCGTATATCTTTCTCTTGCCAAATAATTCGTGATTTTATTTTCCTCTTGCCGTTACTACTGTTATATTCTTGCAGGTTACTTAGTATAGCTTCTTGTTTGACAGACCTCTTGGAGCCATATATAGGTCTAAGTTGTTTTTTGTACAGTTCATGAAATTCAATTTGAAGTATTCATAGATTAATTAACGAATCAAGAAGATGATTCCTAGCAACATGCTATAGTTTGTGTAAAACGAAGAAATTGGATGTTTTAGCTGCTTTGAAACTTAAATATATATTGTTCTTGCTCCAAGACTGCAACCTTGATGAAATGTTAAATGTGTTTGGCCATCATGTGATATACATACGGAAATATGATACGGGCATAATTTTAAACCTGTGAGTGTACGTGGTTACTCTCATCTATTAGATTTTTCACTGCTTTGTTTGAAGGCCTCATTTAACGTTTAATCTATATTTATGCTGCTTAAAGTGAATGTTGAGGTTAAGTGAATATTCTGATGAATAATATGATCATATGGGTTTAAGTGTAGTTTGGATTGAAAAAATTTGATGCATGATTCTAGTAACGGGTATATCCGTTTTGAGCATGTTGCCATGAAATTGAGATGAAGGTTGATAGAAATGATACATTTTGTTCTCCTGCAGTTTATTAAGGACTATTGGATGCTTGCCGTTGCTATTGAGATTCACCTTCAGCAATTCAAGACCGTTAACGTGCTTTACAATTGCTTTGTATTGGGATAATGCGTAGCAAAAGTATTAATGTGGTTTGGATCCAAAAAACACTAAATGTCTTATCGTAGTAAAAAAGATAAATGTGAATTTGAGAAATTAGTATATTATGGATTTTGTATCTGCATGTACGAACATTTCACGCTTAATGAAATTTATCTTTTTTTATGCAGTCATTCACCATTGCATGCGTTGTGTATGTGTATATATATTGTCATTCCCATAATCATAAATCATACGGAGCAGAACGATACACGGGTTCACCCTTCTTCTGTGGCGAAGCCGAATGTGCATGAAAGAAATTAATACAAGACGTATAGAAAATGAAGTAATGTTATAAAAGAAGCATAAATTGAAGGGTCAATTATTTCTCTGTCTGGACAGAATATTATTTTTCCTATTCATCTCATAGGTTAAAGATGAAGGGAGGGGGAAAGTAAAGGAAATAAACAACGAAAGAGAGCCTTTTAACGTCTGGAAAGCAACCTCTTCGCGCCTCCTCTTCACTACTGTTCTTTCAATGTACTGAAACAAACACAATTTCAGTCCTTGTCAAATATCAAGGCAATGAAACAAACACAATTTCAGTCCTTGTCAAATATCAAAGCAATGAATCAAACATAATTTCAGTCCTTGTCAAATATCACATGCAGACAAGCAATGAAACAAACACAATTTCAGTCCTTGTCAAATATCACATGCAGACTAATCCCTACTATAAGATTAAAAATTAATTTCAGTCCTTCAAATAGGCAGTCATTCAACGAGGCAAAATATTCATCTCATGCATGCAAGAAGGAATGGGGGAACGCAAATATCCACATATTGGTTGATTTTTTCTTCACATACGTCTAATGTTGCACGATTTATTCTTCTCTATGTTTTCTTTTTGCTCAGTATTGGTGGTGTTGGGTCTCTCTGCTTTCTTGTTTCTTCCTCTTTGTTTTGAATGGCATATATATGACATGTATTTTCGTGGAGGTCAACAATTTACAACCAAGAGGAATGTGATTAATACCATCAACCTTTTGTGCTTGATTATATTTATTCATTTTTTTCTTGGATTTTGTTCGTGTTTGTAGGTTTTTTTTTTTTTTTTTTTTGGTAAAAGCACCATGTCAAAACATGGTGAATGTTGCAGTCATATTTAAAATAGGAATGTCATTGTGTAAATCTTAGTAGATATGAGAATGTATCTTATATTCCTATTAGGAGTAGATTACCTATTCAATGTTGTAATCCTAAAAGGGAAAGGTTTTTACCTATCTTACCACTATAAATAAAGGCACAATGAGGTGAATCAAACACACCTCACAATTAAATCACTCTCTCTTCTCTCTAACCATAGCCGCCCCCCTCTATCTCTAAACCCTTGATCATTCAATCAAATAGGCCTACAACATGTTATCAACACACTCTTACCAGAAGCTGAGGAATTGATGCATTGTAGGAGGGGGCCATCATCCACCAAATTCAAAGGCTTATTCGTTTTCTGCTAATTAGGTACACTTCAAATAAAAGAAGATATTTGAAACATTCACAAAGCATGAAAACATTCCCCATGATGCATGAACCCCTCTATGTTTATAATTTCCTTACGATATACACACACACACACACACACACACACACACACACATATATATTGTATATGTTTATATATTTGTCAATATATATATTTGTTTTATGCATCGCACAATTAAATTGTTATGTGGAATATGTGAGTCAAATTATATAAAATAAATTAGAAGCATATTTAGGGTTTCCTAGACCCTAAGGGAAATTGGACATAGTATGGCACCACCCCTGCGACACAACATCGGCAGCAGGCCTTTGGACTTTGCTACACCTATTTGGACCCCCAGGCCTTTAGCTTGATAGACTAGTATGGGCATGAAGCCCCAGTTCTACCTCTAAGGAGGCTCGCAGCCTTCCTGGATCCAGACCAAGCCTAGGACAAGCTTTGCTTGTTGGGTCCTTGTCCTGCAAGCACCCAGGCCCGCAAACCTGCTCCATCTGCTGCTAGCCCACTTGATTGGGCTTAGTTTTTCTTGCGGCTCGCAACACAGAAAGCAACCTATGCGGCTGGGCTCTCATTTGAATCTACACGCCAGCCCATGAGGCTGGGCTTTGTCCTCCCTTGCCTCACCTCACAGGCCAGCTGTCATTGGGCCTTGCCCGCACCCCCTTGAAGCCCAAACTTGCAGATTGGGCTGCTCTTAATTTCCCTCACCCAGGCCCGTGGCCTGCAGTCCACTCTCGAAGCCTTTAAGGCCTTGCCTACTCACGGCACCCAGCCCAAATATTTTGGGGCTATATTTTCAATCCAATAATATTATTTTAATATTATTTAGCTTCTACAATCGACCCAGTATGGCCCGATTTATTGAATTAATTAAAAGTGACTTGCATTCCATTAATCTAATAATAAATCCAAAATTATTAACCTGAATATCACTTTTGGACATTAACGATTCAATAATTTATTTTTATACTTTGAACCGTCACATACTTTCGTAGTAACGAAGCTCTCACACTTGAGTTCCCGAAGAACCTCAAATCCACTATTTTCAAATTAGTATATTGCATTCTGTGTTTCTTGCAGAAACCTCTAGCTCAAATCACTAGAAAGACATATACTTGCCTGAAGGAAGACACGACTGGCATCATCTACGCTTCCAGGACTTTAAGTCCATGAATGAATACAACTCTAAAGTTTGTAGAATCAATTCATTGTTGAAATTCTGCAAAGTGGAATTAACCGAATTAGATCTCCTGGAGAAGACCTATTCAACCTTCCATGCCATCAATATTGTTCTGTAGCAACAATATAAGGCACAAAAATTCACCCAGTTTTCGGATTTGATCTCTGTTTTACTTCTCGCTGAAAAGCATAACCAGCTTTTGATGAAGAATCATCAATCTCGACCCACTGGCTCGAAAGCCATGCCTAAAGCATATGCGATTAATTCTAGCAACCATAAATGACGCAAGAACCGTCGTAACCATGGCAATGGGCAGCAAGCCCCACCACGGGCCCAAGGTCAATAAAGTACCGCACCTAAGGGAAGAAATGTGACCCAGCAGTGTCCACCACTCGCCCCTAAGGCCCCAAACTTCAAGAACAAGGGCAAAGCTCTCGTTCGGCCCGTTTCTACTGAACTGGACATATGCTATCGTTGTAGATCAATGGATCATTGGTCATGCGTATGCCGAGCTTCCCCTGAGGCTATTGCCAAGTATCATTCCTGTCGTGAGTCTAACTTGGCACATGTGGATCATCCGAAAGATGTAACTACATCAATGGAGATATCAGATTTTCAGGAGGCATCAGCTCCTATGGATGAATAAATTAGACATGTTTTTAGGGTGTTTACCCCTAGTGGCCGAACCCATTAGGAGTGGCCGGCCCTACCCCCTATTTTCTAGGTTGATAGTTTAATTTTGAACACTTTTTCCTAAGTATTTGGAATAATTTGTTTGGTTTTGGTTTGTTTTGAATTATGGATTGTTATTTGAATGGATATTATTTTCTCGAATTGCTTAACTGAATGAATGGACTTATATTTATGCATGTGACCAATTCAATCAATTTATTTCTAGGTATGTCTAGTGGGGAAGTTAGTTATCTTCTAGGTATGTCTAGTGGGGAAGTTAGTTATCTAGCAGATAGTGCAACCACGCACACTATCTTGCGTGAACGACACTATTTTACTAACTTAATAGGCAAGAAAGCTCATTTGACAACTCTCGCAGGGCCATCCAACCTGATTAAAGGATACGGAAAGACACGTATCATGTTGTCCAATGGTACAATCTTGACCATTAAGGAGGCACTTTATTCTCCACGTTTCGGAGGAACGTTGCTGAGTTTTAGAGATATTCAAGATTATCAATATCATATTGAAACCACTGAAGATAATGGTTCTGAATTTCTTTGTATCACTTTATACGAATATGGCCAGAAGCATATTCATGAGAAGTTGGAACGTCTGCCGAGTGGGTTGTACTTCACAACCATTCGCGGCATAAAAGCCCACAGTGTGGCCGGCCCTATGCCTGAGTTCCAGGACACTTTGTTGCTTTGGCATGATCGTTGGGACATCTTGGATGTGACATGATGCGCCGTATCCTCAAATATTCACACGTGCATAAGTTACATCCCTATGTTAAACTCCTGCCATGCAAAGCGTGTTCTCTAGGGAAGTTGAATACTCAACCCTCCCATACAAAGATTATTCATGACCCCCTAAATTTCTTCAGAGGATTCAAGGGGACATTTGTGAACATATCCAACCAACCTGCGGACCATTTAGATACTTTATGGTGTTAGTTGATGCATCGACAAGATGGTCACATGTGTGCCTGTTGTCTACACGCAATGCCGCATTTGCTAAACTCTTAGCTCAAATCATTAAGCTTAGGGCTCACCACCTTGATTATCTGATTAAGTTGATTCGACTGGATAACGTTGGAGAGTTTACGTCACAGACTTTTGACAATTATTGCATGTCAGTAGGGATTGATGTGGAACATCCTGTACCCCATGTTCACATCCAAAATGGCTTGGTAGAAGCTTTCATAAAGCGCCTTCAATTGATAACTCGGACTTTGGTTATGAGAACCAAACTGCCGATATCTGCCTAAGGCTATGCAATATTGCACGCAGCTATGTTGGTCCACCTGAAGCCCACCGCTACCCAACCACATTCAACGTTATAGTTGGTCACTGGACACAAGCTTGATGTCTTGCATTTAAAGGTGTTTGGGTGGGCCATTTATGTGCCAATAGCGCCGCCGCTTCGAACCAAAATAGGTCCTCAGAGAAAAATGGGAATCTATGTCGGTTATGATTTGCCATCAATTGTTTGCTACTTAGAACCCTTGACAGAAGATCTCTTTACCCCACGTTTTGCGGATTGTCACTTTGATGAGACAGTCTTCCCGTCGTTAGGGGGAGATAAGCATGTTATCATTCCCATAGAACGCCTTGATTTGTTGTGGTATGCTCCCACTATGTCTCATTTAGATCCCCACATTGCCCAGTCTAAAACTAAGGTGCGTCGAATTATAGATCTTCAAAGTATTGCTCAAAGCATGCCGAATGCTTTTAATGATATGACATAGGTGACAAGATCACATATACCTGCTACAAACACACCTGTAAGGATAAATG